TGAAAACCCGGACTAAACTTTTTTTGTTTTGTTTTGTTTTGTTTTTAGCTGCTCAAGAGTTGTTTAGATAGCAAGGGTTGCGCAACCTTTTAAGTGCATTCATTTATCCTATATTAAATCAAAGACTGATCATTGTTGTACCAAGTGCACAGCGGAGCAGGCTATACGCTTTCGGATAAGTAAATCCACGATAAGTTCGGGGTAAATGTTGTGCTTGTCTGTGTCCGGATCAGGAACCTGGACACCGTGCGGCGACGGCGCCTGCAGCAATGGGGGCTCCTGCGTTCCGGCCTGGAACGACCGGCAGTCGTGCGACTGCGATGCCACGTCCTTCAGTGGACCTACCTGTGCCGACGGTAGGAAGCCTGCTCACAAACCTGAAACGGTTCAGACACTTGCATTGGTTGTATACACTGCACGCCGCGAAGCAACGGAGTTAAGGCTGGTCAAGACATTTCCGTGCGAGTTTGTCAGACTGCGAATTACGAACGCTGGCGAGTGCCTACGACGAGGCGGTTGCTATGACAACCGACGCTCGCACATTTCTTAAGTGGAACGCAGGGAGTCGCAACACGGTCAGTCACAGTCAAATGCAAATGCGCGAACAAGGATATAAATTGCCTCCGATACGTGAACAAATATCTTAAATGTGTCGCTTTTTTTTATTATTATTCATTTTCTTCGTATTTAGATAGTACGAGTATGTCGTCTAGTGAGTATTATAATATTAACAGTGCTTATCTCAAAAAAAAAGTCTCGCGGTCATAAAAAAAAAACTGTACGGAAAAGGGAATATTTAAAAGTTGAAAGCTCGCACTGTACAAAGTTACTCGATCAATGTTTTTCGAAACTATCTGACGTAACGACGCGCAATCTTGCGGTGTTTCTTTTCTTCATTTATCTTTCAGGTAAACTGTAAAACAAAATTAGGTTTTTTTATTGTTTTTTCTTTCTTTGTTTAGAATAACTGTTCTAAAAAAAGGGGGACACGGTATGCCAAAAATTGTTGACGCACACTCGAGTTGATCAAGCGCACTAGTCGCCGAGAGTTTAATAAACGCAGGGGGCGTGGTTTATGAAATGAACGCTTCACGCTTCGTGATTGGATCTTGGACGTCGGCTCATGCAGAATTCTGATTCGCCATGAAGCGACCATAAGTTGTTCTGCAGAGATGTCACGGCCTGCGTTCGTCACGCCGTCAGTGACAACGCTGAAAGGAAACGCCTTTTAGTTCCCTTTCTTGCGGAACACGAAGGCAGCCAATCATGGCAAACAGTAGAATGGTCCCAGCGAATGACGAAGATCAGGGTACGATATGAATTCTGCGATGTGCGGCAGAGGCAGTGAGAATGACGTTTCAGGGGCTCATGTCTCCACGGACCTTGCTTTTCTTTTTTCAGATCTAATGTTATATTTTGAGTTTCGTCACTCGCAGTGATGTTTCATACCATGTTCAAGAACTCCCTTTCCTGGGTACAAAAATTCCCTTTTTAAGGCACTTCCCTGAAAACATTTTGAAATGTTCCTGCCAGTGTGTTTGTTTGTTTACTTCTTTTACCTTTATTTTCGTAGAAGCTGATTTCTGTGGTCATGCAGGTCACTGCTCGCATTTTGCTACAAAAGCCGCGTGAAATCGCCCACTTAAAGAGAAGGAAATGTTACTGGTCAGTTTATATTTTTAGTAACTGAATTATGTAACCTTGATGCGCTGCCGTTTCGCTGCACCTAGGAGTCGTTCAGACACCTCTCCCTTCCTACACCGTAACATTCTACTTTCTCTTCTTCAAAAAGTCAATGACGAATTCGCCCGAGCGAGTACACGATTGACTCTCCTCCGCACTTTTACCTTCTTTACTCATTAACAACATCTTCTTGAAACTATTGGACCACAAGACGTTCTTTTATATAGATGTGTGCGCGCGCGCGTGTGTGTGTGTGTGTGTGTGTGTGTGTGTGTGTGTGTGTGTGTGTGCGCGCGTGTGCGTGTGTGTGTGTGTAATTAGTTCTCTTGAAAGCATTTTTCGAAATGTCTGGTTAATCGTCAAAATTCACGCAATCCCGTTAAAATTTCCGATTCCATTTTTACCGGAATTGAGACTGAAAATTCCTTGAAGAAGGAGAAACTTCCCTAGATGAAGGGGAGGGGGGGGGGGGGGGACATCAGTGGTCACTGGTCAGACGTAGGGATCCTTCTGTTGCTCGCCGTGATTGCATGTCTCCGTGTTCTGCAAAAAAAAAAAAAAAAAATGAACTCACCGATTTTTTTCATTTTGTTTAGTAGATAGTTTTTTTGAGCACTGAATGGTCTAAACCCGGGATCTTGGGTGTTGGGCACGCACAGAGAGCATCGCGTACAAGTTCGGACCCCGTCCTGGCCTGGTCCGGTTCAGCCCCAGTGCAGGGCCCAAGAACCCCGCGGGGGCCTCCCGCGGGGACCTCCTGGCCCTCGGTTTCCTGACGACGGCGGACGACGCGGCCCTGGTCCACGTCTGGGGCCCCGAACAACACTTCCTTCTCCTGCACATCGTAAGCAAACCAGAAGAAACACTTTCGCCGTCCGGATACCCGAAAACCATACACTCTAAGAAATACCTGCGCGTCTACTTACCGGCCAAACACTCGAAGAGCCAATCTCTGCGATCTATGAAATCAGCTCAGCGAATGATGAGGCACAACATCCGTTTAAACCTCCAAATGAAGTCTGCGCTGAGGCATTACGCAGTGTAAAGCGTCATGATCGTATTGCATAATACCACAGCGCAGACTTAGTTTTGAGGTCTAAACGGATGTTCCGCCTCATCATTCGTTGAGCTGATTTCGTAGATCGCAGAGATTGGCTCTTTGAGTGTTTTGCAGGCAAGTAGACGCGTGGGCATTTCTTAGAATGTAGTCACATCGCTCGTACATTAGAGGGTCTTTTAGGGAACCGTGTTTGCGCATTCGATATGGTACGACGGACAGTCCGGTAAGAACTGCGCATGTGCGAGCCTTCTGCCGTAGCGCATGCGCAGTTATAATAATAATAATAATAATACATTTTATTTCCATCGATTGTGATGGTGGTACCCGTGGAAAAAAGCTGCGATATGCAGCTTGACTGGTCCTCGGGTCCCTACAATGGTCAGCAGCAACGGAACGGAAATAAAAATAAAGAAAAATAAATAATAAAAAAAAATACACACAAAAAAGTAACAATTGAAAGATTCATAACTACGCACTTGCATGTTTTCTTGAAGCAAATAGACAAACATAAAAAGCAACAATTAAAATTTACAAAACTATACACTCTTGCCTAATAATGGAGCAAAATAAAACAGAAAATAAAAATCAGGTACAAATCAGGAGCAAAAATACAAACGCAATTCTTTAGAAATTTTAGAGTCAAAATCTACACCATCAATATAAAAATTATTTAGCAAGCGTGGCAGGGCAAATTTAAGCATTTGGAGACCATAGTTCGTTCGCTGAGTGACCATCTTCCACCGGAGGGCCCGTCTTATCTTATCGGATATGAAAAAACGGTTCCCTATAAAACTATTGAGAGTCTGCAGACTGTCTTTTGTACATGATGTATTGGGATTGCGACCACGGCTTTAAGGCCGGTTCTGTTCGCTCTACCGGGGCTGTATCGCTAATAGACACCCCGAATTCGGCGCTGCATCCACAAAGGTCGGCGCTATTTTCAAAGCTATAACTAAAGTGCTGAGGTAGCGCTGCGTTGCATGTGTGAACAGGGTGGAGCGTTTGTGGAGCAATTTTTTTCTTTATATCTCTTTGGCGAGTGCAAGGCACGCGCTCGTATTTACCGCGCTAAGGACGTTTAGAATGGAGGGATTTTGGATCACTCCAAAATCACCTAAGTATTTTTTTCGTTTTAAAGAAATATTGCTATATTACGGATGCATTTTCTGATAAGACCTCCAAGGGTCTGCGTTTGGTCACAGCGAGAGCGAGAGCTTTCTCTGTTGGTGATTCGACGTGGTGTCACATCTTTCTGCTCGGCCGGCGTTATCGACAAATTTTTTTTCTTTTTAACCGTTTGCAAGTTTGCGATTGGGAACTCTTTTGGTCACTGTGCGTTTGACCAAGACAAAAAAACCAAGAACAGTATCGCGGCTGTCTTTGAAACGTGCGCTACGCAGCAGTTATACACGAACGCACGCCGGTACGACGGCCAGCTAAATCGAATTGAAGGGGGGGGATTGCGTTTGGTCAGTTTGATATTGGCGGTACTCATCATAGCTGGCCGGCAACATCTAATAGTTGATGTGACGGCAGCTAGATGGCGCAAGCTGTCAACTTGCCGCAAACGCCGCGTGGACAGCTTGCGCCCTCTCGCAGCGCTTGCAGGAAACGCATTACCCGCCTTTTTTTAAAACTCTAACTTGACAACGGACTCCTCAGGCTCCGAAATCTGAATTTCAGGTATCGGAGCCAACCTTTTCCACACTCTAAAGTGTCCGGTTCGTTTACTTTTCTGCGAAGCACTCTGGAACGCCAATCGCTGCAATCTACGGAGGAAGGAGCTCGACGAATGGAAAGGATGATATCACTCTAAAAAAAGTTTATGCCTCTACTTTCCCGCACAACACTCGGAGAGCCAGTCACCGCAACTTACGGAGGCAGCTCAGCGAATGACAATGCCGATACATATGTTTAGACCAAAAAACGCAGTCTGAGTCGTGACATTAAGCAATGCAAAACGTCACGCTCGCATCGCATAATGTCACAACTCAGACTGCGCTTTTTGGTGTAAACATATGTTTCAGCATTGTCATTCGCTGAGCTGCCTCCGTAAGTTGCGGTGATTGGCTCTCCGAGTGTTGTGCGGGAAAGCAGACGCACGGGCTTTTTTTAGAGTGTAACATGTTTATAGAGCTAAAAGAACGCTGCGCCGTGACATTTTTTGAGCATCACGTTTCACGTCCTCACATGAGGCTCATATGTCACAACCCCGACTGTTATTTACGCCTGTATACTACCAGTGCATTCAACGAACATGGTCGCTCATCTTGCAGAACTCGCCAAATCGCTTAGTGTACCAACCCCGATTGCCGCGGTTAACACAGGCGAGATGGTTAGTCGAATCGAGTGATATCGTCGGTGGAATTCCAGTTTGTGCATTCCTATAGGAAAAAGGAAAGAGAATTTTTTCCCTGCGCTCGATTATGAGAGCAAATATCAGAAATAATTCGTGCGTACTGGGTAGCTTGGAACATTTCTCAAGTCATGCAGACGAAAGAATTAGTCAGTCACGGTGTTTTTATTTTTTTCTTCAATACCGGGTCTTACACACGGTGCTAAAACAGCTTAGTATGCGTGCAATAATGCGCACTGTCGGACACTGTTAGCGCGAAAAAGGCGTCGGCGCTTCTCAGCGTGGGGGATATACGTGCCAAAACAACGAAGGACAACTTGTGCATTCGTTTAAATACAGTAACTCCCTGGGCATTTAAACGATCCAAATTAACTGAAGGCCACGTAATATAGTCCAATTCACAATAAATAAGAACCAATTTATTATTTTTGATCATGAATATGTGCGAAGTTATCCTTGTTCTGCGTTCGAAGCATCACGCGCACGCTCGAAATCTTTGAAATATTAGGGAGACGCCAAATAACAATGGCCCGATAAAAGCCGTTCGGGGCCCGGCAAAAGAAATAATAGAAAGAAACAGCATTCATAACCCACGTGCTTTATACTTTACGTTCTGAATGTTTTTAACCGCTCCTAAAGATGGACGACGGGTAATTTTCATATAGTGATAGGACTGGCATATTAGCAATCTATAAGTGCCACCGGCATGCTGGCGAACCTTGAAGACACTCTACATTCTTTTCGATCGTTATTTTGCTTAGAATCATCGCTCGTTTTCACACGCCTGCTATAGAACAGAGGTTTGGGGCTTAAATATAGTCAAGTTTAACATCGTTCACTGATTAATAAAAATGCACTAACTAATGCAATTACACTTTTACAATGTTAATAAATGTAGATGCTATTCGGTGTGACCCAAATAACAAAAGTGATCCATGTTATTTTCCGGCGAAGAGACAAAAGTGCACGCGCGTTTTCCCATAGAATGCACAGGAGCACCGCAAAAGTAGACTGGTTGTTGTTGAAGTTACTGAATCTTTTGAAAGTACCTCCATTGTATTCCCTGCCTGTCATCCGAACACAAAAAAGAAACACTAAAATACAGGCGATTAAAACCCCGCAAGGCGATTGGCTAATCGTCTCCGTTGCCACGGCAATGTCTATTTCGGCCCCTTCAAATCTTCGAAGCTTCTAGAGGGTCTTTCTAATCCAGTCGCACCAAGATTGCCATGAGTATCATCGTACTGAAGGCGTTCCTCGCAAATGTAAGCGTCTTTGGCACTGTGTTAGTGATCAACTTATCGATCACGCCCATCTCCACGGATCTCTCAGAATTACATTGCTCTACTTGTATACAGAGAAATTATTTTTCACTGCCTCTAAGCTCCGACACCGCATGTGGTGATGGTATGAAGATGTACGCTTGTTTCGCCGGTGTGCGGATATCAAAATCTCGGTATACAAGAAGCGTCTCTGTCAGGCTACACGTCTCCAGGAAATTTTGATCGGCTCACCAAGAATGGAGGTCGAGAAAAAATTTATAATGTAATGAGTCAGAATGGCTACCATACGGGGGCGAGGGGGGAAGGGGGGGGGGGGGGGGGGGTTCGCTCTATTACATCATACTAGAGTATACTAGAAATAGGGGGTAGTGTTTGGACCGGTGGGGCTCCCGCGAGGCGCATCGAAGCGATCTTGACAGATAGTGTCACCGTGCGGCTGCATCTCAAGGTCGTGCGGTCCGCCCGTGTTCTGCGATAGGCGAGAAATACGGAATGTTTGTGTCGCTCTGGTACAGTGTTCACAAGAATATAAGAAGGAGACAGGTAAAAGCTGCATCATGTCTTGACACGGCTTACATAAATAGTGGAGAGAAACAAACAATTCAACGCCTTATGTGATGAAAAGGGCTAATTAAAGGAAGACACAAGGGCAGTAAGGCTCGGTGCTTCCAACTTAGAATATAAGTAAAATGCGAGGCAATGCCTACGCCGGGTTCACGCTCGCAGAATGTTTACCTGCGATATTGTGCACCGACATGGGCGTACCAACCGAGGGGGGGGGAAGGGGGGGGGGGGAAGTAAGCTGAATCAGCAGCCACTGGGCGGGGCAAACACTGGCCGCCGGCGCCCAAGGAATACCAAGGGCTAGCCTCCCCCCCCCCCCCCCCCCCCCCCCGGCCCTGAGGGTGGGGGGGCAGGGGGGAGGGTCTGGTTTGAACCCCCTTCCACTAAAAACAAGTTGGTACTCCACTCTGCACCGACATATCATAACGTCTTAGCATCGCACACGCTCACGCTCCTCGTTTATCACTAGCTCGGTAATTCTTTCTGCACCATGCTAGACGTTTCGTGATGTAAGGAATATATCGTACCTATTTTGAAAGGTCAAGGTAATTTGCCTACTTTAGGGTTGTTGCCACCCCCAAACAAAAAGTGCAACAAATTTAATTTAAGAAAATGTATATCTTCCAGTAAGGCGGCAGCGTTTACACTATAGCAAATATAAAGCGATAGAAAGGCAGAGTCAGAAAAACGCATCGCCGTTTTTACAACACATTGCAAGCAAACAGGGAACTGCAAGATAGTACGGTACAATGCAATCGATAAAATTGGCGTATAAACAACCGTTTTTTTCTTCCTCTTATATGCCCTTTCTCTGCGTGTCTTCAAAGCGGAAGTACGAGTATACTTCTACAGTGATGGCAGAGCATGAGAAAACAAATATTTGACAAGTCATTTCACACTTAACAAACAAACGTGAAATGACAAAAAAAATCCCACTGCACAAGAAAAATAAAACGTTGGAAACAACGAATAATCTGCGTGTGTTTTTTTTTTTTTTTCGCTTTTAGGCGGCTCGCAGCAGTGAACCTGTTTGGGCCTTTTGTCAAAAAATGAAGACTGGTCACCACATAAAATGCAACCACTCGTAAAGTGACGGCCCTTTCATGTTCAGCGCATCCAACGCCCTGTCCTAGTTTTGCACCCACGAGAGACATAATGTCCAAAACGCCTGTCACGATTGATTTTTCTTTTTTTTTTCACTGAAACAATTAATACAGATATTTTTTAGTGAGTGAATGAAGGAGAAGAGATTGTGAGAGGGGTACAAGATGTCCCCATTGGCACACTGCGCTGTGAACGCACGGGACCACTTTTCGATGCATGGGCGGAACAGGACGCTAAACACACCGGTCGTAGACGCGTTCCAGGCACCATTCGTGACCGTTGTGGCGGCCATATTGGCTGCCTATAAAGCTCCCATGATATATATATATATATATATATATATATATATATATATATATATATATATATATATATATATATATATATATATACATATATATATATATATATATATATATATATTGACCTGCCGGCAGCCTGAAGAGAGGCCTAGGCAACAACAACCACGCAGCCTGGCGTAACATAGAATACTATAACAAACAGTGCAATAACAAAATTCGGCAAAGGTACTTAAAACTGCTCACGTGTAGGAACGCGAAAGCATTCCTACACGCAGCGCATTTTTACAAGCAGCGTGCCACGTCTTCCTTTTTAACAGGGCGCTCCGGTGGTGGCATCACGCTCCCCCACTGCGCAGGCGCGGTGCCCCCGCCGGCTCCACGGCTTCCGTGACGATGCATCTGCGTTGCTGTGCTTTTTTTGTGTGTTTTATTTCTGAGGCGCGTCCGCTTTGACCTTGAGCGCCCGGTCTTCTCCCGTGACGAAGCATCTGATATGACGCGTCGCAGCCGATGGGAATTCCGCTTGTTGGTGCCGTTTTTCTGCTACAGACATTTGCAGACAACGCCGGCTTCGCTCCATGGGACAGTTAATGATTTCGCATTAGAAAAACGTACGGACACACAAAAATACAGGTAATTTCAAAATAGGCACCGCACTCTCTATACGAAGAATGTTAAAATTTAAAAAAAAAATGAAAGCCGTTTACAACTCACTGTAACGCCAAATTAGAGCGCAGCTCTTGAGGGGGAGGAGGGAGGGGTACTGAGAGGGGGTATACCCCTCCGCCCTCCTCCTCACCTCCTCATCCTGTCTGCTACTCCTACCTCCGAGCGGCGCTGCAATCGCCTCACGAGGGTCACGTGACCTCACAAGGGTCACGTGACCTTCCGGGGGTCACGTGAACTCCGTGGCGCCACGTGATGATGACGATTACGTCATCACGATGACGTCATCATGATCACGTCACCAGCGACGTCGCGTGACGTCATTGTGATGACGTCATCGTCAGTGATGACGCCATCAGTGACGTCACTGGTGACGCCATCATCACTGATGATGTCATTGTCATCAAGATGACGCGGACGTAATCGTGATGACGTCCTCGTCATCGTCACTGATGACGTCATCGTCGTTGTCACTGATGACGTCATCAGTGACGTCACGCGTCTCATAATGCACCGTGCGGTCATGACGACGGTAACAGAGACGCCGCTCTTCGGGAAGTTTGTTCCAATCCACAACAGTGCGCGGAACGTAGCTGTACTTGAAAACATATTTATTGCAGAAAAACTCGCACACTAGTCCATTTTCTGTGCTGTTGTGCGCGCGTGTGTGTGTGTGTTTGTCTGTGTGTGTGCGTCGTGCTTGCGTGCGTGCGTGCGTGCGTGCGTGCGTGCGTGCGTGCGTGCGTGCGTGCGTGCGTGCGTGCGTGCGTGCGTGCGTGCGTGCGTGCGCGCGCGCGTGCGCGCGCGCGCGCGTGTTTCAGGGTGCAACATAATCACTGATAGGTATTTCGCTCTTTCCGCGGGTTACCATGGTGGAACAACTCTCCTACGCGTGGCCAAGGGAGGCAGATTTTAGATACCCAATATGTCCTATTACAGGAGGGCGGCAAGTTGCTGGTGACGCACAGCGCTGGTGGCGGCGATGTGACTGCCAGTGATCCCGGGCTGAGGGTGAACGACGGCCGGTACCATGTGGCACGCGTTTCCCGCTCCGACGGAAACGTCACCCTGTGGCTGGACGACCGCACTGCCTTCGCCAGAGGACCCAAAGGTATACGACTTGCCGCATCGATCGAGACTGACACTATGCTGAGCAGAGGAATGTATGCTCGTGGGTCGACGTATGCTATCGCGGACAATATGTGCCGCAACAGTTCTTCGTCCTTTCTTTAGAGTACCTGCCATTTTCTTTGGAAACAAAATTCGGTCCAAACTGTTTGATGACACGCGAACGTTAGGTTGCATTCTTTTAACTTTAGGGCAGATCGAGGGAGAATGTAAAGTTGATAGGATCTGTAGACGCAGAAAAAAGGCCGGGCTGGCGGTTGCAACTTATCATTGTCTTTGGGAGTACAGTGAACTACACAGCAAACGCGGACACGAACGCCGGTGGCTTTCCCAAGTTCGCAGCCGAACATAGGGCCGGCGAATACAAGCTTATATTGCCTAAGTCGGTTCCAAGTATCAGCGGATTTCTATGATCGATAGTCTTGATGTCAAACTTTCAGTTACGAGAGAAATAACAAAAAAAATGGCGACAGTCGGCCCTTCGATATACAGGGTATTTCTTTTAATCAGATATGTTTAAAAAAAAGGCGTGAAGGCTACACTAATGTGGTTTTTGTGTGGGTGAGTTATATGACCTGGGTGACATCGCATAGAGGGCTAATCGTAACGATCAGTCAGCTATTTACCAGGATGTGTGAATTGACGTTTCAATTATTGAAAATAAACATATGAATCTAATTCAAAACTTGCTGAGCGTCATCGAAAACCACTAAAGCCGGCAATACTGGAAATACGTAAAGCTCGTGCGAAGCAGGGTGGAGCGCTAAAGTTACCCCTCGTGCTGCAGGAGCAAGGGTACCGGTGCGATAAGGCGCCCACACGATTTTATAGTCTCTTATCACAGCCCCAGTCCTGTGCCTGGTGCACGAGTGGTGACTTTAGCGCACTACTGCGCTTGCGATGCGCTCAAAGTCTTTCTAAAAATTACTTACTTAGTGGTTCGATGACGCTCAGTAAGTTTCCCATTAGAGCCGTATGTATATTTTCACGAATTAAAAAATAATTAACAAATGTTAGGTAACTAATTTACTTATTGTGACGATTAAATATCATGTCCCCTTAGTTGTGGAACACACCTGTACAAACCTCATTAGTGTAGTTCCCACGAATTTTTGAAAACAAATCTTTCAAGCTAAAAACAAAAACACCCGTATAGGGTAATTATATCGCGCCCCGTGCATTCGCCGCTTTCTATCTAGCTCGTTTTCTCTTATGCTGGGAGTGTAAAGGAGCAAGCTTGGGCACGACTTCAGCTTAAGGGACGCAAAGCAGAGTATGAGGAACTCTGAGTTCATCAGAGTAAACTAAGTTGCCCCGTTTCTAGAACCGTATCCTTTCAAACGTAAACACCGGAAAAACTTGGCCCTAACCTACTGTAAGCACCCGAACTAAAAAAAAGAAATGCAATTAGCGCGCATTTCTAAATAAACCCGCTTCGATGTGTGTGGCTTGCACGGAAGACTTACATTAGCTGTCATTGTGGTCGCCTTGCTGCTGACCACGTACCTTCTGCAGCGTATACACGAACTCATCTTTGTTACGTCACGGCGGAGTGGTGGCGCGTCGGACGCACTTCCGGTCCGGGGCTGTGGGCGGAAGTGCCCATCTGAGACGTGTATTCCTGCGTTGTTTTTAAAGGAACCAGACAAAAACCTGCCTTTTATGTCAAAATGCTGCGACTGGGGCTGTACCAAAAGGGTCGAGAAAGGTTTGAAGGTCAGTTTTCATGCGCTCGGTTCGTCCGAGAACGTGGATATGTGCCGTGAAAAGGGAAAACCAGACGCCGTCGGACCACGATTGCTTGGGCGGGAAGCATTTTGGGTTGAATTCACGGATACTTCTGGCCATCAGATTTATTTGTTTTGTTCCAAAATGAACGCCGGAAAACCGTCAAGTTGTACGGACCACATGCGGACTACGTTCAGTGCGTCTTCAAGTTCAAACGGTCACCTGATCGTTCGAACTGTCTTCTGCTCTTTTTAGAGGACGCCGGCCCGTAGACCAAACGTGGGCCCGGTACTTGCGATAAGAAGTGCAGGCCTCAAAAGACTTAAGTTTGAAGGTTGGTAAGCAGGCTCGACGTAAACAGTAGATACAATTAGATGTTGATCATTGTTACCAGTGGCCATCACCGACTTGTTATGCCTGATTCACTTGGTTAGATTCTGCTTGCGATTTTCAGTATCGACGTCGACCATCTCAGCTACGGTTCACGCTTTTGCAATCTAAGCGACGTCGCTACTGAAAATTGCGAGCGAAATCTCATCATGTGAATCAGGCTTTAGCGTACATTCTGCGGCGTCCACGCGGAATGAATCGCCGCATGTCAGATTATTCACGCGAAGTTTTGTGGTATAACGAGCCTCGTTAATTTCGCTAACGCCGCTCAAGTAGTCAGACATCGCTAGGAGGACGTAGAATCAACAATTCTAACGCAAAAAAAGAGCGCGATGACTCAGACCGACGCCGACAACATCGCATTTCAATGGTTTGCTTATGGGCGACGGCGAGCTTCTTGCCCACACCCCCATCGCGCATGCGCGGCGCCGGTGGCGTCCGCTAGGGGCGCTCCGGTTTGTTTGTAAACATGAGTTGGTGTATACGCTTCGCATCACCGAATTTGACTTTTTGCGGCAAGGGCAAGTGGGAGTGAACACCAGCATGGGGCAATGACATGACGTGAAAGCCGTGTAAAGCTTTGAGTCAGAATTCTGACATTAATTTTCCTCTTTGGCGGGGTTAGACCTAGTCAAGCTGCCCGCAATCCGAAGGACGGTATAAACCACTTGGCGTAGTTGCGTAACTTAGACTTTAATAGCAGGTTAAAAAAAAAAACGGAAAAACTACAATAATCACCAGATGTTTTTCTTTTTTCTTTTTTTCTCCAGAATCGCTTGTTTTTCTTTATTGGAATTCGGTCGAGCGTCGAACGGCCAAAGCATTCAAGCAACAAATTCGCGAACGGAGTTGGTCGTTCCCCCGCAGGCCGTCCCATGGGCGTCCTGGGCGGCTTCTCCTTCCTCGAGGCCGGAGGACTCCAGCCGGCGACGTCGTCCGCGGGCGCCGTCCAGCGTCCCTTCGAGGGCGTCATGACGGGCCTGGTCTTCGACGGCGTCCGGGTCCTCGACCTCGCGGCCGAGAACGACCCCCGAGTCCGCATCCAGGGCGACGTCCAGCTCGTCCTCTCCATCCCCTACGAATCCCCACGAGGGTCGCAACGCATGCAGCAGGTCAGACGCTCGAGGGACTCGGGGGGACTTCGACAAAGACGCCGACGTCTGTGCAGCCTTTTAAGCATGTCTGAGCAATAGCACCGCTAGGGCCAGGCACGTAGCCAAGACTTTGTTTCGGGGGGGGGCCCGCCCATGACAAAATGCTGTATGAGGGGGAGGGGGGAGAGGAGGTCCCAGCAAAATGGAGGATTTGGGGGGGGGGGGGGGGTGCCGGGCCCCATGCCCCCCCCCCCCCCCTTGCTACGTGCCTGGCTAGGGCATGAACAAAATACACGACATTCACCGCAGTCGCGATCGTAGGGTTATCGGCGGGCATCCACCTCAGGCGTGTTTTAAGCATGTTTTTACTTTATACATACGTCTCCTTCAAACTTATTTCTGCAAACAGTTTTTGTTTTTTTACAGTGTGTTCTTCGAGCGCCATTCGGACGTAGAAACATTATAAATAAACAAACGAACATAGGGCATTGAAACTTTCTTCATAAAGGTGTATTGAGGCGGTGCATTTATCGTTTCATGTACTCACTCTCGGGGCCCGAAGGCATTACAGAGAGGAGTAGGGTATGTTTGGTAAAAATATATTTACAGTAATACAACTCTAACAAGGCAAACGCACATTAATTTTAATGAACGAGGCAAGAAATGTGTTACAAAGTGTGTAGCCATTAACATCCATTCCTCCATCCATATAGTGTATACGTTAAAATAAATATTAAGCCTACATTTTTTTTATATATTTTTATGCAGAGGGAGGGTAACTGCAAACAAACTTCTGTTCGAGGCTGCTACTCACAGGTGATGAAACACGAAGCGAAAACGTGACTGCTTCTTTGAAATGAATACCCGAAGGCAGATACAGCAGATTCGAGCGCGTGTGCTGCCATCTCTAAAATAGCAGAATCAACCAATTTTTTTTTTTTTGGAGGGGGGAGAGGAGGGGGGAGGGGGTTATAAAAGAAAATCTTTTTTTAGGTTTAATTGTTTTTTTTTCTTGAAACCTATAATTATCAAATTTTAGTATAATAAATGTATAACCTCAAGACAACCTTGGGAACTTGTTTCAATGCACTCTGTTCATTAATTTATTTATAATTTTTTTTCCTCGAGAACACCCTGCATAACCATTGCGACGGGAGTGATCTACCAGAAAGAAACACGCCTTAACGGGTTTTATCAGCTGCCACCAGTCGAACACCAACAAGGGTGAAGCTTGCAATTTGAGGTTATAATTATAATGCAATTAATTGCAAAGGTGCAAGCGAGCTGGACAAGAATGACGAAAGTAATCCCTGGAGAAGGGGAACAAGAGGGACAAAGGACAAACATAAATCTCCAAAACACAGCTAGGCGGATTTTTTCGGACGCCTTAACATTTGCAGTGTTCACACATTTGCGGTTGAGTGTGATCGACTGCGTTGCAGCCCCTTGCCGACGCTTACGGGGAGAGAACACACAGTGGCGACACCTTACGGGTAGCCCTAGGAACTCTTCCCATCAGCGTATGCACATTTTAGGCACCATTCTTCCACCGTGCGCTTGAAACGAACCGGGCAATGTCAGATAGGCGCTGCGTAGATTTGGTCGCGCTAATACCGTAAATTCTTCGTTATAGAGTTATGCCTAGATGGGAAGTGTTATGAAGTTGCCCGATAGATGTGGCCGCTGTTTAATGTCGTAGTAAGCGGTTTCGAACGCTTGCAACGCGCTTGATCATACAGTCCAATGCTATTAAGCGAACCAGCCGTTTGGGGCGCGCGAGGATTGGGAACAGTGCGCGAGCGGCGACTCTAGCCACCAGGTTGTCTGGAATAAGGGTATGTTTTGTTCACGTCCCTGTTAGTCCTTTTCTTCTTTTTTTATTTTTTTGCCCACGTGTTTTGGCGCCCAACGTGGAGCTCGCGGTTTCTGCACGAAGCACTCCCGCCTGCGGGCTGAACCGCCTTGCAGGAGCAAGTACCTATGTATGCAGGCGCAGCATCATAAAAGAAGCGAAAGGCAATGTATGCGGGTGCCGCCGCCTCGGGGGGCGGGTGGGGGGGGGGGGGGGAGGGGGGGGTAAATACATTAGTAGAGCAGCCTATTGTTTGGAGACAAGCGTAGCTAGTGAACGCAGGGCCTGTGGGCTCTGAGCATGCCCACCAAACCGCTTTTCTAAAAGTGCCGCTACATCCAAGCATAGACATTCCACCGCCAGTACCACGGCCTTTGGTGCAATGTCAGAAAGATGAGTTGGTGCGCAGCTTTTTCTAGTTTTGTGTGTTCTCCCTATTTCGGAAGCGCTGTTCGCCACCCGCTCTCCTGTATAATCGCCGGTGTTATTTTTTTAAGCAAATATAAATTAGCAGTCTTTCTTTTAGTGAAGGCATTGTAATCAAAGCACTTGATTACTTTTTTATCTCAAAGCAGCGCCGGAGTTTTCAGTGGACTTCTGCGAGGAGGTGGCTTCCTGATTGTTGTAGGTTCCATTTATGTATTCAGAGAACGAAAGTGCCACTACATCACCTCGTAAAGGAATTGGCAAGCCCCCATGTTCAGACCGACTCATTTTTTGAGGGCGGTAGGTTGTAATGAAGTTTTAATTTGATTTTGTGGTCTCGTAATAAGCAGAGCAATCTGTACCCTAATCTCTTTATAAAGCAAAAATGAAGGGGCCAGTTTGTGTTACATTAATTTAAGTGTAACATCCGTGATGACGTCGCAACACCGACGGAAGCACTGATAAAACGGTCATCTGCAATACACCCTCCGAAAACAGGCTTTTCTGAGGTGGTACCAGAGGTTCGATCACCTCTGGCACCTCGGAGGCTAAACGACGCGAAGGCTATTGCCAGAAGTCATAAAAAAACTGCATCTCCGTTTTTTTTTTTTTTTGTTTTTGTCCCGCATCATGATTTGTATATACCGCAACAGAGGCTAGAAGCCTGCAAGCTTATGACTTTGACAGGTGCAATTGCTCTGAGAGAGCTCGTGCAGACCATGTGTGTCTCTGTGCGAACTCGCTCTTGTAGCCTTCGCTGCTGTGCACGCTAAATACCTTAACGTGCACGGCCTGGCCGTTGTAGCGACGGAGTATAGAAGGACAGTGACTCACTGTATCCACCGCCGATCCGATCGCGAGAGAACATGCCGCCCGAAAGAAGACAACAGAGTCCACACGCTCTTTATCACACGAACTCATGATATTGTGTACGCTGCATCACGCCCTCGCTCGTGGACGCATGGTCCCGCTGCATGATTCACGCGTGAAGATTTAGTGCCGCTTGACGGTTCTAGTCTTGCACTTCTGCACTTTTGTTTCGCTCGCTTTATCTCGCCATTTTCGGTTTCCCGGTATTTCTCTTCGAGTTCGCTCTCTGGGAAACGCTAGAAAGCGAACCTGTTGCGTCTTTTTTATCTAGAATTCGCAGCCTGCTTTGAAGTGCTTCGAAACCATTCCTGTCGTCCTGCATGACCGCGGCCACATCTGCGTTTTCGACTGAAAATAATGTTGCAAGAGAGAGACAAATGCAACCAGCAAAGCGCTGTGTCACGCGTTGAAAATGTAGTGGCGCCCAGGGCTCAGAAAAAATTCCACTAGCTCGATCATGCTGACAAGGACCAGGGAGCACAGAATTTATTGCGAATCCGCTGGTTTCATGTTATGTGCGTGTGACGTCACGAGGTCATTTGACTGTGTCGTCACACGCCTTCATGGTGCCACGTGATGTCACGGTTTTATATGATGTCATAATGACGTCACGCTACTTCATTGTGTCATGATGACGTCATAACGTCGTGTAAAGTTTCTATGGCGGCATGACTTCATAGTGACGCTATGCGACATCGTGACGTCATCATGACGTCATGTCACCATGGTGCCATTATGACATTATGACGTCACGCTTGAAAACAGGAGATACACAGCTGCGGTACGGCCATTTCCAACTGTAGTCATCTTGAACGTTCTCCAATATAAACACGTCTATTTTTGTTTTGGTACTCCATATTAGATTCGTACAAAACGTTTTTGGTCGAAACCGTACCGTGCTTTGAAACGAAAATTTCGTTGGCATGCGTATATTAATAAACGAGATAAGAAGAAACTTACAATTTCAAACTGATTCCTGAGCTTCTCTCGTAAGCAGTGAAAGTGCTAAAACAAATATATTGACACACCGTGTGCTTTATCATCCGAATTCCATGAGAAGATCGTCATGAAGAACCTTCACGAAGAACTGTGACGGCACGAGACACCATAATCTTATCATGGCGACGTATAGTCACGTGATGTAGTGGTGACGTCACGATGACGCCATTATTGATGTTGTCACGTCATGACGTCATCATGACGTCGCGTGACGTTATGTCACGCCGATACATCACGTGACAACAGGACGGCGTGTGACGTACGTAGAATTTGCGGGACCGATCATGACGTCAGAAACACATAGCATGTGCCCAGATCATTAACAATACATTAATAGACTGTACAAAGTAGCCCGCCAGGACCTGTCCGTCTTTCCATCATATCTCTCTTTTACTCACTCGTATACTGCGGAGTTTTTGTCAACATGGTTAAGCTAGTGCTTCCATTCTTTGAAATACAGGATGCTGCGGCGCATGGGTGTGCATGTTGCATTTATTAGCGCTCTGTTTTTGTTTTTGTTTTTTTCACTTTTATTCAGTTACTTTACGGACAGTCGTTAACTCGGCCATATAGCGTACACCATGTGACCGCAGATATTTTGGAAGATCACAGTCTCTACCCGCTAAAAATCCCATTGCTACCATGTGTTCCCGTGCAGTGGAATCACGGAATCATTTGAACTATGCTGCAGGCGTTCCCAAGGGCCTTGTCTCGGTATACCAACAAAACAAAAAAATATACTTGTCGCAGACACCTCAAATACACCTTGTTATCAACTTATGTTACACTTGAGGATGAGCAACTGACCGCAAAATAACATATTTACGAACACGCCAAAACGCAAAAAAAAAAGCACGAAATGAAAAAAAAAAGTTGATTTTATTTGTTGGCTGACTACGTCATTAGGTATCCACTATATGACTTAGTAGTTGGTCCCAAGTTAGAGACAAAGTTCTTTACATCATCTAATATACACATTAAATTGAATTGAATTCCTCACCTAAACCACCTCTAACGCCCGTAATAAAGGGTACAGCCGTTAGCATGCATCTACCCATCCATCAATATTTGGGTGCCAGTATAATAACCGTGGACACGCCTTAGCGAGGCTCGATTGGCAGACGATGTACACACGCCAACAAAAAAAAATGGCGGCGCCCAGAGGTACGTCGTACTTGCAAACATCTATAGGTAGCCGCCAGCGAAGACAAAAACAATGGGCATATTTAAAAAAAGGCGGAATGGAGGTGGTTACTCTATCCGTGGTGTTTGCAGCAACCGCGGGCCTCCCCGGGATCTTACGAAGGAGACGACCTCGTGTTCTCGGAGGGCTCCGGCTGCTTCGACAGCGACGACGACGACTGCGGAGCCGACGGATTCGGATCCGGTGAGCTGAACCTGCACCGCCCAACCTCGTGCTCGACATAGACCAAGCGGGATATATGGAGACTCGATTTTAGCCTCGGCAGAAAAACAGCGCGGCACTTCTACGTGTTCACCCCGACGACGAGAAGCGAGACCTCTCTCTATTAGGGAGTTTTGTGAGATCCTTCCGATACCTCCGATAACGATACCCGATACTCCGCCGACACCTTTGCACGTGCATCGTATCGTTATCGGAGGTATCGGAACGATCTGCTAAAACAGGCTAGGGAGTTTTAGGGAACCGTTTTTGCCCATTCGATACAGGTACGATGGACACTCCGGTATATGAACTGCGCGTGTGCGAATCTTCCGCGGTTGCGCATGCGTAGTCCGTACCGGAGGGCCCATCGTATACCGTATCGGGTGTGCAGAAACGGTTCCCTAAAACTCCTTACTATTATGCGACGGACCGTAAACTATGGGAACCTGCAATAATGGCATCAATTCCCGTAGGGCAGTCATGGGCACGACCCGTCGCTTGCGCTTGAGCCAATCCACGTATAGTCTTGTTTCCGGTTAAAACCTGGCTTTGCTCGTTTTATTTTCCATCCACAAGGAAGGCGAAAAGGCAGAAGGGTCGAAGGATACGGGGATGCGCGCAGTCACCAAACCTGGCTGGTAGAATTTCAGCGTGAGAAAAAAAAAAGCAAGCCAATTGGAACATCTGACTCTGAGCAGTGTTTTTTTGTGCTTGTACGACGCTGTAAAACTACTCTTCATCGTTCGCGTGGAAGCTACCATTGAACGACAAACTTCGCAGTGTGTTCCGACTGCGCGAGAGCGATCACCCCCAATGTGTTTGGGGCGTTCTTTCTGCGTACGCAACCGTTACGGAATACAGCAGTTCCCCTTCGAAAACACTATCGTGCACAAGCTGCCTGCAGCGCTTTCAAAGGCATGGACAGAGCAGGCGTAGCACCGTGCTAAACACTGTTGGTACAAAAACACGTCAAAAAGAAATTCCTTTGAAGCTGCGCGTTCAAGTTTGTGCCACTCACATATGCTGCGTACAACTGCAGTGTAAACGTATGTACATTTAATCATCGCCGTTGTCCATTCACTGAAGACGGCTGTTTTCGAGCGTGTATGCAATCACGAAGACAAGACAACGATTGTACGAAGCAGACGAATAAAACATACTCGTGTTCTCTCGTCGAACACGAGATTCCCCGAGAAGATGCCGACGACGGGCGACCCTGTGCGACTGCCTCGTTTCTATCGACGGCGTCGTCGTCGTCGACCGAAATGTGCGGTTTTTTCCATGTGAATGTTCTTTAACAGTCGCTCAGGGGAAAAAAGTAACCTTGCTACAATTAAAGTTACAAACGTGAAAGAGTAACTTGTTACAGTTACAGTTACTTCGCTAAATTAACATCGTTACTTCGTCGTTATTTTACAAAAATAATTAGAAAAGTTCAGAAGAAACCTTCCCTAATATACATTTAAATTAGCATCGATTTTTCATAGGGTACTGCGTTGTTCACGGTAGTGAATCTGGTTTTTTTAGAAACCAAGGTTTTACCAATAATCAATATTCTCTATAACAGTTTTAAGCTGAGCTAGTTGGTTCATACCTCAGGTAAGGCCAGCTGAACTAGAATAAACATACACATAAAGGAAAGACCTTAGAGACCGCTGGACTAACAATTTACTTTTTTTTTTCCTCTTCTACTACGAGCCCCACTTGAGGCCAAATATTCTCTTTTCTTCTTGTTTTTCCTTCCTACTTCACCGCATTATTAACCCCCGAAGGAACTTTTTTTTTTTCTCGTGCAACGCGAGAAAAGGTGCGCTAACGCAGTCGCGTTAGGTCGCTTATTTGGTTTTTTTTATATTCAATTTTTACAATGAATACCTCCCTGAACAAGGTAAATCCACTGTACGATAAAGCATATATAGTTTCCTTAACAAATTTATAGGCGACTTCAGGTTGTTGTTTTTTTTTGGCAGATATACCTGCTCATTATTCACTAGAAAATTTAAAACAAGCGCGACCATCATAAAGTGTAAGCAAACACAACAGCACGCGTCTAATTCTAATTTCAAATTCCTTTGGTGAGGCGAAATGGGGCGGAAGCATTAAAAATTGTGCAAATGGGAAGTCAATAATGATATAAGTCATACCTTGCAATCACGGCTTTGTAGACGCTTTCGTGTACCACTTCAATCCACTCGTCGGTCGAATATTTTTTTTACTGCGTGCACACTATCTTTGATGAAACGCGAAGCTGTTCTTGAAAACTTGGAGAGAAATGTTGCGTTAACATTCCTCCGTCAAACCCGCTGAACATGGCGGCGTTGCGAAAGGACCACTGATCGAGCTACATACGACCACTGCGTGCAGATTTTCTCCGCCGCTTCATAACCGGATCAGAACCGTCTGCGCTCCTCCATATCACGCCCACGACGTGAGTATCTATAAATCAACTGATGCCAAGTGCGCCTGATACCGGCTAAGAGCTGTCTTTCAATTTCAAGAAAACACCTAAACAAGCAGAACGACAGAGACGTTTCGAGCGAATACTCTTTTTCGAGTGCGGGCCCTGCGAAGCAGAGCAAGGGGGGACAAGTGGGTGACGGGAGGCAAAGCCAGTAATTGGGTTGCCAAAAAAAAAAAAAAAAGGAAGGCCTAGCAAATGGGCCTAAAATCGAGACCCCAAGAGAGCATCTGGGAGTTGGACGATTCAAGTGAGAGGTACTTGGCGGCAAACAGACGAGGTTCTGGAAATCGCTTATGGCGTAAGCGTACAGGCGCTGGGGGCGGTTATCACCCAAAACTGTCCTCCGCGAAAAGCACTCGCGCTCTCCGCTAAACAAAGAAAGGAGTAACGCTTTAGAGATACCGCGCTTTGTTACACCTGCGTGGGCTGTGGACAATGTACCATACATTGCGGGTACGGACACAAACGTCTCCATCCTCCGAGTTGGCGGGACCAGCTTGGCCAAGCAGGGTGACCGAAAATTTATTTTTTTAATTTTTATTTATAGTTTTCTCCCGTGCTCCAGACGGGGTCCTGCAGCAGGTTTTGCAGTGCCTTTCCCGGTAATAGGACTTGAAACTCTTTCACGAGTTGCGAGGCGTTATGGTGGTCGTGTTTGCAATATATTTGCACGTAAACCTGGGCTGTAACTGTAACGGCGTTATTCTTTACAGTTACTTTCGAAAAATAGTAACCCTGCGACAGTTACAAGTTATTTTCACTAAGCATGTAACGAGTTACACTACAAGTAACTAGTCACTGGAAACGTGTTACTATAGTAACTAGTTACTGCCCAAGACTGCCGTAGGGTTTTTGGCAAAGAAATCTCATGTAGGGCACCTTTCTCTAGGAGACCTTTTTGAGGGACTTTGCTCCTGAAAAAGCTAAGTTCGGCAGTGTGTCCCAAGAGTTTCCTTTCTAAAAAAAAAAAAATATCCTAAATCAGGTCTTTCGGCTTTCGTGCTTTTGTTGTGGCCTCTTTGTTAAGTAGCAGAGCTAATTTACTGATCGCAGCTGTTTGATAATAACCTGGGGGGGCGCGCCCTGCGATATGCGGAACACTGTAACGGTTTGCTGAAAGTCCCCATTGACGGAGCGCGAACTTTTAACTCGTACCCGGGTGTTTAGAAACCTGCGAACATTCTGGACGCAAAGGCCAGTAAGAGCTCGAATGTGTGCAGTCGTTGTACGTGTTCTTGAATACTAAAAAAGGAATGTATCAGGAATAGGTTCCTTGAATAAAATAAAACCAAGCCTGAGGAACACGAGAAAGAGGGGAAACAAACTCGGGCTGGTAATAAATTCCCTGTTGGTGTTTATACCCCGTCCCTTCTTTTGACGCAGTTTTATTACTAGAATGGAAAGTTGGGCGAGTTGGTATGAATCCATTTTGAAAAACAGCACGAATAACACACGGACAAGAAGGAGAGAACACACAGCGCCTCGTCCTGTGTGTTCTATCCTTCTTGTCTGTGTGTTATTCGCGCTGTTTTTTTATTTTTATTTGTTTTCTTACTCAACGATCAGTAGCTAGCTTGTTTTTTTGTGGTTTTTTTTTAAATATAATTTCAGGAATGAGCTATAGGTTCCCAGATTAGGATCGAGTCAGTTAGTGTAAGGCAAACTTGGCTTTAATAAATGCCACTGGGTGTAGTAGTCATAGAGTCATACAATAAATGAACTCATTTTTCCGAGGAAATGCCATTAATGTTCGTTTTGGCAGTTATCAGTGCGACCTTTCCTGTTAGTATAGTGAACGCTGTTCACGTTAGAGATAACAACTCTCCTGCTCCTGTCGTGGGATTCATTTCCCATATCCAATCCCTGGAGTCCCCACCGACTGACTAATAGGCGGTGTCCCGTCTACGCAGGCGATGACCTGATCACGGCGGTGTACGTCCAACCCACCGCCAGGCCGGCACCATCGCCACCCCCCATCGCGATCACCCACCAGCCACCAGACTGCGACGACGAAGACTGTCAGGACGGCGGCTCCGGAGCCGGCCCTCCTTCGGCTTTCTCCCCGACCCCATCGTCAACCGCCGAGGACGACGACGAAGACGAAGACCGAGGAACGAGCTCGACCCCAAGACCCGCCGCGCCATCCCCTCCGACGTCGACTCCCACGTCTCCACCCGTGGTCAGCTCCACCCGCCACGAGTGGAGCATCGTCCGCACGTTCACGGTGACCCGCGCCCCCTGGCAGCCGCGCACAACGCAGGGAGCGCCCGCCGTCATCAGCGTCCCCATCCCAGAACTGACGGTGCCCAGCCAGGAGCGACAGCGTCCCACGCCCAAGGCCAAGAGTTCGGCCGACAGTACGGCCCTGGTGATCGGAGTCATCGCGGGCATCCTCATCAGCATCGTGATTGTGGCTCTGCTGGTGTACCAGTTCCGCAGCCGGCCCGCGGGCGCGTACAAGGTGGAACAGGGAGGACCCAAGGGTCCTCCGATCGCGGGGGCTCAGGCGGCGGCTAGGGGAGCCGAAGCGACCACCTTCCATCCCGTGGCCACACCGCAGCAGCTCAACGGTGCTCTGCAACCCAAGCCGAGCGACGCTAAGCGCAAGAACGCCAAGGATCTTAGGGAGTGGTACGTCTGAAAAGGACCGATCCTCTCTCCACCCTTCGGGCGCCGAGGAACCGAAGCCACGACTGGAAGACGCGTTTCTCTTTTGCGAAATTGTCGCGGTTCCTTCGGGAGTATCGCGCGTTTTCAGTGATGGCATCTGTTGTAGATTCGTAGCGCGATGAACCTTGGCCCTTGGACTTAGGTCCGGGGCCAGGGTCAAAACCTCGGACTTATATTGAAAGCAGAACGCGTTCGCGCCAAAAAGGACTGGCCGTGGTGGATGTTCTTCGGTGGCCTCTTGGCCCCCGTTTCAAGTGCTCTTGGGACACTCTAGACAACAAGGCGTCGTCGCCCGCGCAGTCATCGACATCTATTGTGTGCGCGGGCGATAGACTACAACCGAGACGGTGTCTTGTGGAAGTTGAGAACACTGTCAAGCCGCGACGATGATCTAGGATGGGATCAGTTCTCTTTTTTACCTGAGTTGGGGAGGGGGCTTAGAGAATCTCTCGTAAATAGCGCCCGCGAGGCGCATCCTGCACTGTTTAGCGTCGCACTACTCGTGGGACACGTCATGGTCGACGTGTCCCGCTGCAGCGGCAAAGGACTTTCATATCATGCGGGTGAGCTCAGGTTTAGACCGCCTCGAGGCTGCACCCACGCCGCCTCGAGACGGAGGACACGACACGGCACGCCCAGAGCGGTGACCTCACTATGAAAAACTCCCCGAGGCGGTTAGATCAGAGGAGCCGGCTTGACGTCATCAAAAGTGAGGGGAAGTTGTCTGTACCAGTGTGATTAATTCAAGCTTGTTGCACTCCACTCCTCGCTAGTTGCTGAATTGTTGCTCCCCTTCTTGTTACAAGAAACAAATATGGACGTGTCGCTAATGCGATGCGAGCGCCCGCGGAAGTGGGATTCTATATCTTATAATAGCAACAAGTTGGAGATAACTCCGTCAGTAAGGTTCTCGAACCTATGAGTAAGATGACTCGACAGTTACCTTAGGCATACTGAACGCGTTCCCCGAACAGGCATAATGATGTGAAGTTATCCGCTTTAAGCAAGGCCTAACGGAGTACTGAACAACAGCGTGTGAACAGGACAAGTGGTGGAGGTGTGGCGCTAACCACTGACGACGCCAACCGGGAGTGAAGTACAATCAATCGTAGATCTCTCTGGCATTACTACAGTTCTTGAACGGCGAAATCGTAGATTCGCTGAGGGCAGAGAATAGATTCCGAAGCATGTTGAGCACCGCTACGGAAAGGTAAAAAAACTCCTCATGTATGTCTTTCAACCTGATATCCACGGCGACAACTGTGTGCTTTCTTATTGGCCCGTTCCTTTGCGTGACAGCAGATGATGTCTCGACAGTTGCCTCTCGCCCCTTCCACCTGCTACGTTTACGACTACGTGAGAGTGCCAGCTGTTCTGAGCCAACGTTTTCGGGCGTCTGTCTTCAATCGCGCGTGGAACGCAGCTTTCACATCCCATACAACTGCCCTTACTCGAGCCAACGTCATCTGGGTGACGTAGTCGCTGAGGGTCTCGACGTTCCGCTGATGCTGCGCCCACGGCAGAGAACCTCGGACGTCACGTGCTTTGGATGTCGTGATCCACCCGACGCGCGTATTCGAAACTTGCGCGTACGAGTCTGACGTCACCACCGCGAGAACTGTTGATCAGCTCGTCGGGTGGACAGCAGCGGGCAGCTACGGGTGCAATATGTTCGTCTTTCTATCGTTTCCCTCTGCGATGGAGCGTCGGGCACCACTGGACACTTGGTGATCGCCAACGTTGTTGAGTCTTTCTTGGGGGGGTAAGGGAAGGGAGGGCTCGTTCAGAACTGGGGCGGTCGGTATAAATATGTTGCTCGCGGAGGACACGTCATCCTAAGATTTGCACAGGCTCTTCGTTCTTTTTTTTTTTTTTCTATGATAATTTGTTTTTGGGCCGGACTGTACCCGCAAGGAAATTCTGTTTTTAATCCACGAAACCGCGGTCGCACTGTCCATACGTCATATTATCTGGAAATATTATCTGCGGGCATTATCCAAAGATTATCTGGAGAAACACGGCCTCAGACAGCGACTGCAGACTGTCTTTCGTATGATGTGTTAACAGTGTTACCGCGGCTCAAGGATACTCATGAACCTCGCGTGAATTCTCCGAGGTGGTGTAGCATCAAAACCGGTGCGGAAAAGTGTGACGCGAGCATATATGTGCCGTGGTACGAGACCGTGCGCCCCGCAGGCACCAAGATCAGCAGCAATAATACGCGCGTGGACTGAACAATAACTACAGTAATAAGACTAATAAAATAAAATGCCTCCCATTGTGTACACACGCTTCCCGTTCCTTCTATTTTTTTCTGTTGGTCATTTGAACATGTGCGGTAACAATAGACCTATTGCTATATTATCCAAGCAACAATTAGAATGCAGGGACTGTATAGGTAGGTCTACACGCCGCACGTGGGCGTCTGCAACGGAACCTGTTCTAAAGCAAAAGCCTAAAACAAATGGTATCTTGCACGCGCGCTCGTCAACTCCTGGTCTTGGTTATTTACTTCGAATCTTTTATACGGGGAAGGCAAGCGCGTGTGGAGCTTACATTTACATTCCCAGCATTCTTCTCAATGCTTCGATAACTTAGCAATAGGTTTATTGATATCGCAGGAAAACGAACCGTTTCCGTTCGTGTGCATGACGTGAACACAGTGTATACTAAGGCAACAAGAAATCAAGAACACCGAGGGTTCGCCGAGATGTCTGGTGTGGACACGCAAGATACAAAACGACAGTTCTTCTTCCGCGTCGGCTGGCAAACTGACCCTTGTCGATATCGCGGAAATGAGCCACACTTACGGCGCACAAAGGGACTTTAACCACGGCCTCCTTTCTCTTTTTCTGCACCCACGCAACGACCATGAGCCAAAATATCATCGCATATATGCCTTGTTCTGAGTTCTGAGATTCGCTTATCGGGAAGGACGAAGCATGGTATAGACCTTGGCGAGATTCGCCTTCTGCGCACTGCCATCCTTGTCTGCAGGGCTGTGGAACACCTTCTGAGCATGAGCCGTTGCTCTGTTGTGCGGTATATCAAATGCTGCACATGCGTCCATAGCTTAGTGACTCAGCGTTTTACGCCCAGATGAGAAGCGTTGGAGAGATCTATACGTCCCGTCCCAACAGCGATCTAACGGATCTTACCACGGCCACCCATATACACTCTGAACGAGCGTGCCTAGCTGAAGTGCCACCAGGGTTGCAGCTCATGCAGATGGTATAGTTATTTATTTATTTATTTATTAATACTGCTCACCTCGTGGAGGCGATAGTAGGAGTGAAACTGTACATAGTTGAAACAAAAAAAAAAGTGCCGTTATACACAGCTTCCAGGGATTCAGAGGGATAATTCTGTCGACTACGTGCGCATGTCTTTGGAAAGGCTACTGATTTAGGAGACTTTGGCAAACGGGCAGATCGTGCATGATGACCCGAGCGGTTTTGAACAAGTATCTCAGAAACTGCAGAGCTTATCGGGTGCTCGCGAGCTGCCGTCTTTAGTATACAGGTTTGCAAGCATGGCGTCCCGACTGGTGCCCCGTGCGTTCAAGCACGCGTGCTGCGTGCGCGTGGAGGTGGCTTTGGCAGATTTGCAAGTTCACGTGCGATCCTTACACGAGCAGGAATATGGTGGCGGCCAGGCGTCCTCTTTGCAAACGTCTATAAAATCAAAATTGAATGAACGACGGTGAAACTGCTTAACGCCGAGGGGTTGAAGGTCCTTGCCTTGTCACAGAATCTGGACGACAAAGGCTTTCCCGTCTTGGTGAAGCAAAGTAGGTGGCTACCTGTGGCGCGATCAACTGACAAATCGATCTATTCGAATTCAGGTCAACATAATTTTAGACATTGTATCGGTATGGTTTAGAAGCTAATTGAAATGGCTTTAAGGATATAATTTTGGTTTAGAATATTTTTTACCAGGGTTGCATCGCAAACCACACTAATAGACATTTCCGGAAAATCCCTCGAGGCCTCGTTAGGCCTTGTCTGCGTGCGCAGACAAGTCCTGCACGTCATCGTTAGTGGCTCCCCTACCCGTCCCAAACGACAAACAGACTGGAGCTTGACGAGAGAGCTTCACAGCGTTAAACGCGTCCGTTTGTGGCGTCACCGGGTCGCGCTCGCGAGACGCTAACAAGGCGGCGACACCACGACAGTGTGATATCTTTTCTTTTAGTGCTGCGAGTTGAGAAAACGAAGAAAACAAAACGAACAGCATCACGAAGGCCCTAGGTGTATAGCCCGTTTCGTTGTAGTTCCGCTTTCTTTGCGTTCTGAAATCACACACAAACGTGAACTGCTCCTTCATTTCGTGGCTATACGGAACGCAAGCTCGTCTGCTTCTTGCAAAGGGGTTGTGATAACGTCAGAACGCCGAGCTCTTATTGGCTGATTAAAAAAAAATAGTGGGTAGACCTCAAGGTAGACCTCAAGGCCCAATACTGGGCATTGAGGAATACCCAGTATCTTTTCAATCAAAGCCAATCAGAGCTCGTCTTCGTTCTGACGTCACCGCAACTCCGTTCTGACGTCACCGCAACCCCTTTGCAAGAAGCAGACGAGCTTGCGTTCCGCATACTCCTTCCCACGCCGTACATTGGGTTGTCGTATAGGGCGTCGAAAAGGCGGTGACGGATAGAGGTTAAGCCTACTTAAACTGACTTAAACATTCTTCAACATGAAGTAAAAAACAAACATTTGGCTAGGTGGCGAAAGTCACCTGAACATATGTTCAAAGGGAACGGTCGCCATGCATCTATCCATCCGTACATATACATCCATGGTCTATTGCTGACATATAGCTGCTCTCGAATCTGCTCAAACGCTAAGGTGCGGACACTGACGCTTGAACGTGAAACGTTGTCCAGGTGCTTCCCTTCCTGCGGATCCCTCCCGTGATTTATACGCGGGTAAATGAAATTATGGTGCGCAGTACACAGAGCTCAGCGAGAACAGGTGGCTCTATAGCTGCTAACTAGGACGTATATTTTTCGGTAATTATTAATGAGAAAAATCGGCGGACGTTTTGCGGGGTTTACCTATTTTTTTAAGCGTCGGTGTGTTTTGGTGAATTGTCTCATGCGGACGTTAAAAACGGCGATTATATGCAGGAAAAAAAAGATGGCCATAAATACTGACATATCTTCAAACATGTACACTTTATTGAAAAAAGTTAGTAGCTAATCTCACTTGTTCCTCGTGCAAAAAGATAAGTGCGTTCCTCGTTACTGAGTTTCACATGGAGCGCCTTACTTCAGCTCAAAAATAACTTATTACTTTCTAGTCATTCTGAATTTGTCGTTTTTCTCACGTAATAGCAATCATCCAATGTTTTTTTTTTTTCCTCGTTTTTGTTATTATTAACGCCTGGCTCTTTAAACCCATTCGTGGGCACACTGATGGGGGCGATAAGTGTAGCTAAGATGTCATACTTTGCGCACAGTTTAACTTTCTGGAAGGGTAGAGTGTAAAAATTAATATGATTTAAATCGTAATTTATATCAGACCAGCTTTACTGTGACGATTTAAATCAAACCTTTTCCTCAAAAATAAACCCGATATTAATATGTACTTACTCTGCCGTTTGTGTATCATTTATTGCTATCTGTGTGCATTTTTTTTTTTTGTATTTAAGTCAAAGTATTGTCGAGCAAGAAGGATTTATATAAGGTTGAAAACGAGCAAAAGAATGTGCTTTTCTAAGCAAATCGGAGCGTTGAGCTTGATTTTTTTTTTCTTTCCAAGTTCCGCCTTATTTATTTTTTTTTTCTGTTTTTTGTGAACTATGTACCGTCTTTTTGAAACCAAGTTAAAACACGAAAGAAAGGAACAAAAAGTAGAAAAGTATGTCGTAATGCAATCTTGTCAGAACTCAACCTAAAAATAAAAAAACAATTTTTTTCACTAGAAAAATTTTACTTTGTTTCCTCTACACGATTATAGCAATAAAAAAGCTGTTAATTAAGCTTTACATTTTTAGTATTTCTTTCTTCCACATCGTTTGCAGTGATCGGACGAATTGGTCAATTGATTTGCCATGTTGAAAATAATACATCAGCGGTAAAGAATCACTTTATTCTAGCTGCAGCAGTGATTTAGACCAACTATATCCGATTTAATACAAATAAATTTTATGGTGAAGTTTAAACTAAAATCACGATTTTCTTTTTACCCTGCTTTTTGGCGTTGTTTTGCCTTGAAAGTCAGAAGCTCAAGTTGGGATAAAGACAAAATTATAGGAAACTCGTGTTGTACACGTTTTCCTCCGGAAATATCTAAGTACCGGTACTCGCAACTCCATCGAAACGCAACGAAAATAAGTTAGTCGTTGATTTTTTTGAAACGTAACTAAGCTGTTACTTTGTTACCAAAAAAGTAACCAAATACAACTAACGCGTTCCTTGTAACCAGTGTTGTAGGCGCCGCCAAAAAAAGAAACGACGTTACTTGTTACTTCGTTACTTGCAAATAAAAGGAACGCATCACCGTCCTACGTTACCTCTAAATAAGAGGAACGCGTTACCATTGCTGCTACCGATAAACAGTAACGCACGTTAATTTTGCGTTGCTTTTTTTATTATGAATTAGCACGCTTCACTGTTTTGACGTTACGTGTACGCATAAACGCCATATTTCAAGGAACATCATCTCCACGGAGAAACTGGACAAAATACTTTTATCTTTTCTACGGCCTCACCTAAATACTCGCATGAAAAAACACAAAGAAAAACGCGAAAGAAACCTCAGAAATTCACATGGCTATTGGCACCGAGAAACACACACAAAACAAAATTAAAGTGTAATCTTTCTTATTTTTATGTTACGGGAAGAAAAAGTAACGAGCACTTTACTCGTCACCGAAAGAAGTAACGCGTTAGCGATAACGCCGTTACTTATAACGCGTTACCGACAACACTACTGTAACTCGTTACGTAAGTATACAAAACTTGTCTGCATCTTTCGTACGCTTTTCGTTTTGTGGGGCAGGCATTTTTTCCCCCTCGACTTCTATATGAACGTCAGTCCTGTGCAAGTCACTCTATTAAAGTAATCGACTACAATTACAATTACTATTGTTAAAAAAAAAGTAATCTACGCGGAGCGCAAGCTCGCTTGCTTCTAGCACGGGGGTTACCTCAAGGCATCTAGCATTGAAGTCTATACCCACGATCCTTTCAAATTTTAATCAAAGCCAATCGGAGCTGGACGTCGTACTGATGTCACCGCAAATCCTACTCAAAAAGCAGACGACTTGCTCTCCGCGTTAGATTA